AGGCTGAGGGGAGCCCTCATCGCTCCCTACAACTGCCTGAGAGGAGGGGGGAGCCGGGGGGGTCGGGCTCTGCTCCCAGGGAAGGGGCGATGGGACGAGGGGCACCGGCCTCAAGTTGTGCCAGGGCAGGGTGAGGTTGGCCATGGGGAACAATTCCTTCCCCTTGGGGCTGTCAGGGGCTGGGAGGGGCTGCCCAGGGAAGGGGTCGAGTCCCCAGCCCTGGGGGGATTTAACAGCCGGGCAGAGGCGGTGCTGAGGGCCAGGATTTTGTGGTGGGATGGCAGGGGAACGGTTGTACTTGATGATCTTAAAGGTCTTTTCCAACCTAAACGATTCTGTGATTCAGCAACTGTTGTGTAAAGGGTGCCCAGCTTACAAGCTCTATCCCTGGCAAACCCTTGCTTTCGAGCGTCATTAATATGCTTATATGGTATTTGTGGTCCTTAATTTTCAAGTCTTGAGACTGTCACGCTTCATACAGTAAAAGGGGTTGTAGAAGAAGTGGCATGAAACTGTGTGTGTTTAAATACTGCTCCGCCTTTTAAAAAAAATATTTTAAGCTAAGAGTTAAGTAAACACTTGAGTAGCTAGATCCTTCTGCCAGAAGACTTTCACGGTAATCTGCTTGCAGACTTCTAAATGGATTTCATCATAGCGGCTCACAAAATGTGGGCTCTCTGGATCTGAGCTACTCTCCCAGCCCTACTTATGTAGCCAGCTTGGAGTTATTTTAGTCCTTCCAAAAGCTATAGTAATCCAAAGCCTGCGTGAAATCATGCTGCCTCGATTGGTCTGCCAAGGACTTACCACTCTTTCAGGGTATTGTGGACTGAGGCAGGTCCAGCTTGTGCAGCGTGCACTTGCCTGTATTTGTGATTTTTACTGGTGTAGCTTTGGTGGTTGCTGAAAGCTAAATCCCAGCTGTGTGTTTAATCTTCGCTTTTGATTAAAATCAGCAAATCCTGAACAAAGGAGAAGAAAAAGCAGCTCATCACAGGAGGTTCAGAAACAAAATATCCTTGAAAAGCAGTTTTCTGCTCACTCATCAGTAACTTTTATGCATCTTACAGTAGGTGACACAGCACGCATTTTGTCTCTGGTGGAAATAAACAAATGAGGGTAAAAAGCCTTTTTCCTGAGAGCATAATCTATATTATACAATAACTTAGGTTAGAAAGGACTTCTGGAAGTCGTCAGCTTGGAGCAGGTCCCACTCAAAAGTGAATGAGGCTGCTGAGCACCTTTTCCTGTTGGGTTCCAAAAATTTCTGACAATGGAGACTCCTCAGTCTCCCAGCCCAACTATTCCAGCACCTAAACACTCAGGGTTTCCCCTTAGATCCACCTGCAGTTTCTCCTCTTGCATTTTGTAGTCATTGTTTCTTGTCCTTTCACTGTGCTTCTCTGAGGCAAACCCCTCTCTGTCTTCTGCATAATATAACCCTCTAGACTCAAATCTCCTCTCCTTAGCCCTTCCCCACCTTCTCCCTCTGCCCAACTCACCCTGGTCTAAACAAACCCAGCTCTCTCGGCTTCTTGGGCACCAAATGCTGTGGGCACCAGGCGCGGTAGCCTGCCCGAGACCTTATACATTTCCTCTGCATCTCCCTTGTGCTGGAGCATCTACAGCCGGATGCAGTGCGTCTGATCATGGAATGGAGGTGATTTACTACTGCAATTAGCCGTGCTCATCACAGCACGCTGCTGAGCTTCACGCATGCCCCTTTCCTTCAAGAGCATACCTTGAGTACTGTAACAGCCTTAACTGATACCACCTGTTACCTCAAATGTACTGTTACGGGGTTTTTTTAAGAGTTCTTGCTCTGAAGTGGACATCTTCCAAGCAATTACTCTGGATACGGTAGTCGGCCTCATTGATGTGAATAAAGCACAGTTAGAGCAAAATTTACACTTTACTAGCTTGGTCCAAAGTATCTTTTATCAGTGCCATCCTTTTCAGTTTTTTCAACTGTTGTTCTTGATGTCTGAATCATGTATTTTCTGTGTGTTATCTGTAAATTGAATCTTATTCCTAGACTAGCCAAGGAAAAAAGAGCTGTCTTTGAGCAGGTTTTGCTGCTTTGGGGGGCCTTCTCTCTCTTGTATATACCAAAACTAGAGCAACACGACTTTACAACAGTGTGTGTGTGTGCGCGCATGCGTGATTTAAAAAAAAAAATCCATAAATGCCATTTACCTAAGAACTGTTATTGGCAACAAAGCCGATTTGTGGCACCTAACGCCCACTTTAGTAGCCAGACAACCCAGTTGTCTGGCCTAGTTAAGCCTCCAGCAGCCTGTCTGTCTCAAAATTCTTTCCTCTAATCTACAGTTTAGAAATAAAGCATTTTCAGGAGTTGTATCATTTCAACTGCTAATCGAGTTTATAACTTCAAGTATTCTTTTTAACTGGTAGTTTTTCTACCCTCCTTTTTGTTGTTGTTGCTTATTAACAAAAATGCCTGTGCTAATTTTACTTTGGGTGGGGGAGTGGAGGTGTCATCCAGCTTTCACAAAGGAACATTATTTCAAGTGTTATTTTAAGCTGGGAGGACAAAATGGGAAAAGATTGAATAGGGAAGGTAGTGATCTGTCCAATTATGGAGTTTCTTATTGGTTGAAAATGTTACCTACAGTGGTATCTTCCCATAAGAATCAATTGCACTTAATATTTGTCTTCTTATATAGGAATGAGCTTGCAGTGGACAAAACTAAAAAGAAGAAAAGAAGAGAACTGACTGAGGAACAGAAGCAAGAAATTAAAGATGCCTTTGAGTTGTTTGATACAGACAAAGATAGAGCAATAAATTATCATGAATTAAAGGTAAAAGTTTGTTTCATTTAAACAATTTTATGGCAGATAGTATATATCTGTTTCTTAGTGAGCTTTTAAGCTGTTGGCTGTATCTTTTAAAAATGCTCCACATTCAGGATCTCTTGCTGGGCTAAAGGAGTGAGGATATTGGGGGGTGGGGCAGGAAGTACTGGATTGGTGTAAGAACGAGCCTTTCTTCCCTCAGTATATACTTGACACAGGAACAGAATTGCCGTAGCATCCTGCATAACACTGGTCTGAATGCTCCCCAGGGTTTAGCTTGGACAGATGGCCAAGTGGGAAAAGCTCTTGAAAAGCTGTTTCGTTCTTTTTAAAGGCACTGCGTAATCTTAAATCTTGGTGCGGTGAAAATCCACATGTTTCAGATGCTTAGGTAAAAGATGTAAATCAAATTTGTAAAACTGTTCCTTAAAAGCCAGAACTTAACCCACTTGCATCTTTCAGCAGGGAGCCTATGGATCGTAGGAGTCAGATACGCTATTTGCTGTGCGTGTGGGAGGCTCGGTAGTTGCCCTTCCCAACGAAGGCTTCTCCTGTTGATAGCAAGTGGAGGTTAGGATGGCAGTCTTTCCTAGCGAGTCCTCCCGTCTGGAAGTCTCTAGAAGTAGTGCATGAAGTTCATTAAAGTCTCTTTAAGACTTTCGTGAATTTTTATTCTAATTGTACTGCATCGAGAATAAAAAGTGGCTTTGTAGAGGTCAGTGTTTCTGTGACATATTGGGTGAGATTCTTTTGGGAAGGAATACCTAATCCAACCTGCTGGCTCCACATTCTGGCTCTACCAAGTAACTCAAAGGGCGGGGTGGGAAGAAGTTTTATTTTTACTTTAATTGCTGTTACGGGAATGTCTCGGGTATAGTGATTCCCTTTATTTCAGAGTCCAGGTATTTTATCTTTGCTGGAAGGCTGGGGACTGTTAATATGCTTTTTCCAGTTACGGTATGCTTTGAATTGCCAGCTGCCATGATTACTTGTGAATTTGTTTCTTAGCTGTGTAATTAAATATTGTGGCCCTGAAGACAATACTATGGAAGAACATAAATACATAAAGAAAAGAATTATCTCCTCTACAAAATCAGCATATAGCATAGATTTTTGAGTGGCTACACCAATAGGATTGTGGCTTTCCACTTCTGGTTTAGTGTATGTTCGTCAGTTTGGGAGGGGTCAAGGTAGTGTGTGCTGAGAAACTGCCATCTCAGTTGTAATGTGAAACCAAACGTGTACTCCTAACCTAAAGGAAAACTAAAAAATAGGTCGGTTTATACTGTTCACTGGAAAAGCAGTAAAGTCACTTGTAAGAGGACTTGTAAACCCGTGAACATGTACACACTTAGTATGAATACTGAAGAAGAATAATCTGAAGAATGATTTTCAATTTTATCTTTGAAAAAGAGTCAGTACTTTAAATGTCTTCGGAAGTGAGGAAAATAGATCTGCTTGTCCTAAGAAGAATTTGGTCTAGTCTGTAAAATCCCTGAAAAGGCGAAGACTGTTTTTTTCACTGTAACTTGATGTTCCATTTGCTAATAGTAGTTTTAGTTGATTTTTATATCCAAAGCTTTTTTACTTTTATTCATTTTTATTTATTAATGTTGCTAAACCACTGATATGCACCTTCTCTCTTGGGCAAGAAGGTAATTACTGAAAATAAGATAACTGTTAAATCTGTATTTTAATTTTCATATACGGTTGCACTTCCATTTTATTCCAAAAGGTGGCAATGAGAGCCTTGGGTTTTGATGTGAAAAAAGCTGATGTACTGAAAATACTTAAAGATTATGATCGAGAAGCGACAGGCAAGATCACCTTTGAAGATTTTAATGAAGTTGGTATGTGTTTGATTGTGTACCTTTAGAAAAATTTAGCCTGTAGTAGTGACTACAATTTGGAAGCAGTACTTTGTACTTTTTCAGTTACCTAGTACTATTAAGAAACAGAAGTAGGAGATTTAATATTTTTCTTAATAGAAATTAATAGTGGAGGAAAATAAATCTTTGTATTCTGAATACTCAATTTGATACGTAGAGATAAGTAGTAGCCACAGCGTAAAAGGAAATAGAGTATACACAGTCCTAATCTTTTTCAAACTTATACAAAGGAATAAGTGCTAACTTATAACGTAGATATTCTTGTGCTGTTCATGGATTTTGTAAGATTCTCCTTCCTGCTGTGGAAAAAGTATTTGGCATTGAATTTTATGGGAAGGAGTGTATACACAGACAAACTGTAAACTGAATACAGGCTTCATACATAACAAAGATAAGAGGAACTGAAGCAGATGTTAAATATGGTGCTTCAAGGATTTTCAGCTGTTGATAAAAACAGTGGAATTTCATTAGGCTGTTTTTTCATTGGAAGATTGTGTATTGCACAGTTTGACATACTTCAAGTATCTAGTGATCTGCAGAACTTTTAAAGTTTCTCTGAAGATTTTCTGGTAGTTAACGTAATTTATACTTTTGCATACGATTTGTGTTTACCAAAAAAATAAGCTGTGTGGGATTTCTACGTGTATGGATTTATGTCTCTATTTCATGATTCAAGTCCGTCTGTTCAAGGTATTAGATTTCTGTAAATTTTCTGAGAAAAAAACCCAGTGTAGTACGTGTGTATTTGCTCTTGGCTGCGAGTAACAATCTATTTAATGTGGTAGAACAGTTACTGATAGAAGCATGGCAAATTTTAATGATCTAATGGGTTAGGATTGTTAATAGTTAATGTTGTTAATAACATAATATTTTTGTAGTTGTATGGGGAAACAGATGTGATCAGTCCTGGTTCAATTTTTAAAAAAATAAATGAAAAAAAAAAAGTGAGAGTATTAATTTAGTAGTAATAATATCATAATTACAGCATTATGCTATACTAGTAGGTAATTGAATATACTGTAATCACTTTGTAAGGAACAGTTGTCCATTGTTTCCTGGTTCTGTCCTGGCTATCAATATGGGCAGTCAATCAGCGCTGTGAGAAGCTAGGAAAATTCTTGTAGAAAGCACAGTGTATACTTGGAAGGCGATTGAACCTGTCCCAAAACTTGAATCGGATTTGAGTGCTGCTATGATGCAATATGACCTTGATACAAAACTCAGTATGGTGCCACTTGTGGCAGAAAGAGGAGGGAGTTAGAGAAGATGGGCTATCGAAGCTTTAATTGTGGAGAGCTCTGAATATAGCTAAGCAATTCTTGAGCCATCAGTTTTTCATAATTTAAAGTTATTTATGGTTTTAAATGTAGGAATGGCCTATCTGAAATGTGTACAGATGCAATTACATTTTGTCTTGGTTTGTACAATCATGTTACCTATAGTATTTAGAGACCTAGTGTTTTATTGCTCTTCAGCTAACATTGCAGTGGTCTTTTTGCCACAAAAGGTAGAATTTTTCAAGTGATGCAATATTGTCATGCAGCGTTGTTGTTTTAAATGAAATATTTAAATTTAGTATAAATCCAAGGGATTTATGTAGACGTATAAACTTAATTGCTATAGTGAGCTTATATGAGCTTGCATCTTAATTTTTTCCTGTCAAGTTCACTAAGCCAGAGCAGGCGTTCCCTCTGCAGACAGTAGCAGATGCTAAGAGGTTCTCTGCACACAAACTGGGTTGATGTGTTTTTAATGGCTTGATGAAAGTCATAAATAGCAAGCCCTGTAATACAAAACTAGCAGGTAGAAAGATGTGAAGATATTTACGGTTAGTTCCAGAAATCTCTGAAATAATCACCAGAGAAATATTTTATGTGGCAAGTTTGTCGTTTCTGCTACAGAACCTGACAAATGGTTGTGATAAAAGGAATAATAAACACTGATGAACTCTTTCAGAATTAACATCTTGCAGTTCATAGCAGTGTCCTTTTCATAACCCCTGGGCTCAGGGGTTTTTTTTGTTTGTGTTTTGATAATGTGGGTTTGTGTCTAAAAAACATTTGAATGTTTTTCATTACTTGGTGTTTCAAGTGTTCTCTCCAAGTCAAAATTCTATCCTGATCAAAACATAAAATAAAAAAATTCACATGTCTTCATCTGTCAGAGCTGATGCTTTTTCTGAAAGGTAAGTTTGGAACAGAGGAGGCATGTGTATACTTTTAATTCCTATTAAAAAGTGTGTTGAAAGCATGACTGTGTCTAAATGGCCATGTAGCTTTCCATTGCAACAGGTATGTCCCAAAGGGAAACTCGGCTTGGGAAAAGAGATGAGAAAGAGAGGTCAGATAACAGCCAAACAAATCTGCATGTTGAGTTGAGATACATAAAAATCAAAGAATGGGTGAAATCAGAAGTGTAGGTTGTTCATATTGCATCGGTCTGCTAAGGGCATTCTGAGTTTAGCCTGCAGAATTTTTTAGTCTAACTTCAGTATCCTTCTTACAGTGACAGACTGGATATTGGACAGAGACCCACAGGAAGAAATACTCAAGGCGTTCAAATTATTTGATGATGATGACTCTGGTAAAATAAGTCTGAGAAACCTGCGCCGGGTTGCTAGAGAATTGGGTGAAAACATGTCTGATGAAGAACTACGGGCTATGATTGAAGAATTTGATAAGGATGGAGATGGAGAGAGTATGTGTTAGCAAACAAAACCCTATATAGCCTGTTCTTAATTTTCTCTCCTTTTTAAATGTGGTTTTGTTGTGAAAATGTCCTCTTTGCTTTCCTTCTAAATAACTTTCAGCTTAAACTTAATTTAGAACAGAATAGAATAGAATCATAGAATAGAATCGCTTTGGTTGGAAAAGACCTTTAAGATCACCGGGCCCACCCGTAAACCTAACCCTGCCATCCCACCACTAAACCATATCCCTAAGCACCTCATCTACCCTTCTTTTAAATACCCCCAGGGACTTGACCACCTCCCTGGGCAGCCCATTCCAGAGCCTGACAACCCTTTCAGTGAAGAAGTTTTTCCTAATATCTAACCTAAACCTGCCCTGGCGCAGCTTCAAACCATTCCCCCTCGTCCTATCATCTGTTACCAGCTTACAAATAATGGAAATTGTTGGTTTTGACAGCTACTGGTCCTGGAAACACATCTTGGAGTCTAAAAACCAAGTTGATTTCTCAAGTTGATTCACCACTAACTCTTATTCAACCAATGTCTATTAAAAGAGCAGTGAAAAGTGTAGTTGAAGGTGGAAGTAATTGAAGTGGTACATGGGTGATTCCATGTACCTACATTACATTTTTATTTCATTACAAATCAGTAAAAAGATTGAAGTGCTCAGAGAAACTCTTTTGATCACTTAGTCAATATTTCTTAAGCGGTGATTTGTCACCATTGTGATTTCAGCATGTTAGTCAGATATGGAGTAGTAAGCTAATAAGTCATGCTGGATATATCCTTACACTAATAAGTCTCTGCAGGATCAGCGTGGATGGGTCTTTAACGTACTTCTGAACTTCTGAGTGTTGAAGAGCATAGTGTGAAAAAATGGCTCTGGGCAATTGACAAGGTCATAGAATCACAGAATTGTTTAGGTTGGAGAAGACCTTTACGATCATCAAGCCCAACCGTTCCCCTAACCCCGCCATCCCACCACTAAACCCTGGCCCTAAGCACCTCGTCTGCCCGGCTTTTAAATCCCCGGGACTCAACCATTTCCATACAGAGTAGGCTGCAAAAGACATCTGTTAGCTAGATAACAAATGAATTAATAAATCCAGTTTGATACTATGCTTATTAAATTTTTGTGAGCACTGAAACTTAGACTTCTTATAATTAACTTGAAAACACCCTTATGTTTAAAACCAGAAACCTTAATATCTGAATTTCAGGGACCAGTCCCTTCAGACCATGCACATAAGCACTGCATTTTTAACAGTCAGCGAAACCTGCTGCTGAGTTTTTCTTTCAGGATGGTGACTCATGTCTGAGATTTCATTAGCGGTTCATCAACTCTTCCAGTTACAATAGTATTTCTACTAGTGAGCCACCACATCTGTTGGACTCAAAAGGCTTGCTACTAGTGAATAATATTGTGGTGGTGTCAGCCTTGTGACAGATGCTCCCCCCCTCTATGCTGTTTGAGATAGATGTTATTCTGCACTTGGGAATGCAAGAACCCCTTCTCTCTCAAGAGGAAGAGCAGGACATTTTAAACACCACAACATCAGTGGTGTAGAAATGCCAACCTTTGGTTCCGTTGTAGTGGTGTAAATACGGAGCCTGGAGACAAAGACAGTGAAAGGTCAGTGATTTAATTGCCAGAAGCGTGTTAATGTTGACACTGTTATTACCTAAAGTAAGTGTTGAGAAGAGTGTGTGCTTTCTTCCCTTTTGGAGCTATTGTTTTCTGGTATCTTTCTGTGGTCTGAGGCCATGGTTCCTTAATAAATCCATACTGCATAATTCTGATGTTCCTCCACACTCCCAGCTGTGTCTTCCCACACGTTTCTTGCACTGGCAGTATCTGATCCCACAGGTGAGATGTTTAAGGGAGCTAAGCGAGGAGAAAACTATTCATTTAGGTTTTTAAGTGTTATTTTTCTTGCTGCTTAGATCCCTGAACTGTCTCACAGCTTGGATCAGATTTTCTTGGAGCTGCACCCTGAAAAAATAAGATTCTGTTTTTTCTCCGTGTTTCCTATAGGATATTTGAAGCAGGTCAGGATAGTGAAAGCTGCAAGTCCTGTTTTCAGGCAGTTACCTGTGTGCAGTGACACACAGGATTGCAGCTGTGATTTCTGGTAGACACTAGGATACCTATTTGCTTCCTTTTCAGTAGCTGTTACGACAAACAAGGAATGGTACTTGCTTTCTCACTCCATTAGATTGATTGCTAGTCTATGTAGATACTTCAATTTTGAGCTTGTTTTGCTTTTGAAATGAAGAGTTGTAAGGACATTGCATTGCTAGCTTTTTTTTTTTAAGATTAATTTTACTTTTTTTTTTAATGTGTAGCTGTAGAGGCAAGTGACAGTAGAAGTCATCTGCAAGCACATTTTGTCCCTGTGTCGCTCCCCTGGAGCTGCTAGCTGAGATGTCAGCATCGTGGATCAAGGATGGGGTTTTTTTGCCATGTGGCTATTTGGTCACTACAAATTGAATATAGACCATTAGTTCCTTTCAGGAAGGTTACCAAATCAAAATTATTTTGGGACAGTGCTACATTTTTGAATTCAAATTGATCAGCTAAGAGTGGGTGGCTCTGTTACCTCTTACTCATTCATCCATTCATTCTCTTTGTTAGAGCAGTCAAGCACGAGATTGAATATAGAAGATTGACAGCATAATGTTTGTATATGGTGCTGTTTATCCTTAAGGTTCTGTGTGTTTTCTGTTCTTTAAAGAAAACTGATGCTGTTTCTAGCTTTTTAAGATCCATTCTGAAAAAGTAAATAATCCTGTGAGTCATTGTTCCATTTAGCTTCAAACATCTGGGTCATGTAGCAAAATCTTGCTGTCATCTAATTCTCCTTCTTTTCCTGCCAAAAAAAAAAAACAAACAAAAAAAAAACCAAAACCCTGAAACTGTTGGTAGCATTTTTAATTGATACTTCAAATACAGGAATAATACTACTTGTGGTTTAACACCCTTCTTATATTGGAGATTTTTTTTTTTTGCTCATAGTGAAAACAGGGTCTGTTGTGTGATACCCAGGCTGCTTGAACCCTTGTGTAATGGGCACAAACTGAGACATAAGAGGTTTCAGTTGAATATGAGGAAAAACTTCTTCACTTTGAGGGTGACAGAGCCCTGGAACAGGCTGCCCAGGGGGGTTGTGGAGTCTCCTTCCCTGGGGATATTCAACCCCTGCCTGGACGATGTCCTGTGTAACATGCTCTAGGAGAACCTGCTTGAGCAGGGGGGCTGGACTAGATGATCTCCCAAGGTCCCTTCCACCCCCTGCCATTCTGGGATTCTGTGTTTCCAGCAAAATCACTTGAGCTCTGCTGGTATACTGTACGTAAGTTTCTGTAGAAGAAAGTATTTTTGACGTATTTCCGTCTGCCTTGAAAATGTAAATAGTCTTAGTTTTGTATTCCTGGTCTTAGGAATGACTTCTGTTTCGGAGTATGACTATTTTTAGAACCTCCATGCTGTCAGTTCATGCATTTTTTGTCATCTTGCGTGGATGCATCTGTAGGATCTGGTCTTAGGTCTCAGATTTTGGCACAGAATTAGGAAAAAAAAAAAAAAAACCACCAACAACTTCCACTGAAATAATACGGTTGTTTAACTCTCCAGAGTGGAAGTCAACATTTTCTTCATATTAGCTGTGATACTAGTTTGCTCTTTTATGATTATTTCAGTCGTGGAATTGAGGGATGTCTGACCCTGGGAAAGGATGGGGTTGCTTCTGATTTCATTGTGCTTAATTTGTGAACAGATCCTAAGTCTGAGGAGGATTAAGTGGGTTACTGGGAACCGGAACTGTGCTTCTCTTCGTATTTTGTTTGAATGTTACAAAATTTGTCATTATGATGCTGTATTTCCACTGTGCAGCCTTGTTTCACAAAGATGTTTTAAACCAGAGAGTATTTTGGGGAGGATGCTTGAATTTGTGCTGTTATTGTGCTGCTACTGTGGAAAGTGTTTATGTGTAGTAGCATCACGTACCTGTATGATGGACCAATATTTCAGAGTACAGGGGCCTAAGCCAGGCTAAATTGTTTTGTATTTTTTGACATGTGTTGCAACAGGGCAAACGTTAGGTTTTATTTTGTTATTCTTTAACGTAGTTAAATTTGTTTAATTTTCTTCTAGCTGTAAACATAGCTCTTGCTTCGCAGTGCTTTGTTTAGGAGTAGCTTGGGCATGTTGGCTGGGACAGATGATTGTCAGAGAGAATTCTTCATATGTGTCTGGTCTCTTCCATACCACTGACTTACTCTCATCATTCCCCACTACAGTAATTAGCTGCAGAGTGAACACGTTCATTGGTTAACTGTTTTACAGTGTCTCTGTTTCAACATATGAGTAAGGTCAATAGCTCAGGTAGAAGTGCAGCAAAATAATTAATGACTGCTAATTAATTTATTATTATGACTTAATTTCTTTAAGTACATTCGTGTAAAATTTCTGTTAATTATAACTGAAGAATGAAGAAAGTTCAGACGGAGAAAAGCTTGTCAAAAATCCATTTTAATTCTGGCTAATTTATGGAATCATTAGTAAATGATCTTAAAACTCATTTTGTATTTGGCAAGTGTTGCAGGTTTGAGACAGAGGAATAGCATGGTTTGCAGTGGGGGAGCAGTTTAGACATAAATGTCTGCATCATGATTTTAGGAATAAAACTGGATTTGATCATAACTGGAGCTTCAGTAATGTTGCTTGAAAAGCACTTATTTAATAAAATCTATCTACCATTTTTAACATTCTTATAAATCTTAAATATCATAATACAGTATCATGGTTTTGCATAGATATCTTTTTACATACTTTTCTCAGTGTTTTTTTCTATCTTGTTTGACTTTCAGAATATTTTTATTTTCATAATTAGAAATAATAGCTCGTTATATGTGAGCTAGATTCTGTCTTTATTCCACAAAATTAAGCTTGCATTCTGGCTTCTACATGAAAAAAAAAGAGCAAAATCTCTGTTGTTCTAGAAGCAAAAAATCTAAACTTGTAAACCCTGATTAGTAGTGGATCAGACACAACGAATACTAACTGGGAAATCTTTAAGTAAAAAGGCATGTGTTATTTTATTTTCTGGTTTATGTATCTTTGCTGTTTGTCTAACGGATTTTATCTTTTTTTTTTTTTTTTTTTTCCCCCCCTACAGTCAATCAAGAGGAGTTCATTGCTATTATGACTGGAGATATTTAGCATTAGAAGAAAAGAAGTGAACTCAGCACAAAAGGGAGGAGTCATTGGCAGCTTCCATTACAATGTTTTGTACTTCCATTCATTTCTGTAGCTGGAGCGATGCAGAAAATTACTTTCCTCACAGGACCAAAATAAAGACAGGTTATATGCACTGGTAGTTCAGTGCTTTGTATCATTAAATATTATTACTAGAATAATGGATATATCATTTTAGAAGAAGTAAGTAATGCTGCATTTCAGAATGTTTGAGTGCTCATTTGTAAAATAGCTTTGTATAAGATTTCTAAATTGTATCATATTATAAGAACCTTTTGAGGTTGACTTTGTGTTAGCATTAGCTGTGGCCTTAGTTTTGATACATAAGGTTTGACAAACTTCCATTTTAATAAAATGTTCTTTACTATTGCTACTTGAAACTCTTATTTTTGTAGTTTAATCTGAACTGGACTGTAACGTAAAATCCTTCAGGGAAAAGAGGTTTGGGTTTGTTTGGGGTTGTGTTTTTTTGGGGTTGTTTGTTTTTTTTTTTTTCATTTATAGGCTTGTACTTCTGCTGTTCTAGATGAATGGTAACATTAAATGAGCAAGCATTTGCATCCTCAAAGATGCAGTTTGTTAATTCTGTATTACCCCAGCGTGACAGCAAAGGTCCAGCAGCTATGCATGATGATAAACTATCAAAAAGGTGCTTAAATCGTCCAGGTGTCAGCCGGCAGCTCTCTCTTCAGTGTCCACAGCTCTGACAGCTGTGGAGACAATGGCAACTGTTTATGGTGAGTAGATGCTCTTGCTGCAGTGTCTAGTTAGAAGAAAAGCACCACAGGGAATCAGCTTTTAAAGTAGTTGAAGAGACTGGATATATTTCTGGTTTGCCAGGTGTCTTCCAGAAGACTTCTTGTAGGTTGGTCTTCCAGATTTCCTGTAAATTAGTTGTAGTTTCTTCTTTTTAAATTTCACTCTCCTTATATATCAAAAAATGTAACTAAATCTTGGCTAATCCTGTGTTCGTCTTTATTGTCAGAAAAGCAGCTGTCGGTAATCCTGGGGTTGTGAACACGTTTGCCCTGCACAAGCAATCAGAGCTTGGAAGTTACTGAAGACAGAAGTTAAGGTCATCAAAGTTAATAGATTTTTCCTGTTATTTTTTTCAAGTGTGTATTGTAGCATTCTTACCTGTGAAATACTGTGTTGCTCTCTATTAAGCCATCAGTACCAGTCCATTCACACAGAAGATTATAGCAATTCAAAAGGGCTAGCAGGGGCTCCGTATAACTGATCAGGTAATGTGAACAGCCACCTGGTGTAGAACCCTGGTGGGGTATGTGGCCATCAGCTGGGATTTCTGTTCTGGATCACGCTCGCTCAGAGACACGTCTTTCAAACAGCCTCTGCTAAGAAAGGACATTCTTCCTGTTGAGAGATTTTATTTTTTTTTTTCTTTAATTATGAAAATATAATGGAGAAAAAATGGTAGGGATAAAATCAGTATGAAATTTGTGGGAGTGAAGGAGTAACTGGGATTTGCCAGGAATTTGCAGTCATCTTAATCTTCAGTGAATGTCTCAGTCTTAAAGTTCGAGCAAAACTTCTGTGCTGTATTGCAGGTAGATTTTATATGCAGGTTCTTGCTCAAAAAATAAAGACAGAATATTTGCAGCATGATGATTGGTGTTACGGGGGAAAATTCTATATATGGTATGGACATACTTTATTTCTTTTACATTAATTTCAGTGTAGTAGTTGGGAAGGGTTCCCCTCCCCCCAATAAGTAAGAGTTGAAGGATTCTACCATCCAAGAGAAAATCTTGCTTGGGTATAAGTACAGCAAATTCCTTACAAGTCAAGTAAAATGCTTTAGAATCCAACAGGAAAAAAGCCCTCATGAAATGTAAAACCTATTTAAAAAAAAAAAAACCCAAACAAACACAGAAAACAACCCAACCTTTAACCAGTATTTTGCAATCTTAGCAGACTTGTTTGGGAGGTGAGCATTTTGGGGCAAAGATTCTGTGTTTGGGACTGAACAGAGGAACTGAACTGCTCTTAACAAGTATTTTCGAGGAACAGTTTGGGTATTGTCCAATTCAGTAGCTTCTGGCTTTGCTTTTAATTTCTTACATGAACTATTTCAGGGACATTTTTATTTTCTGCAGACAGTGAAAGTGATCGAGAACTTGAAAGGTCCCGTAGCAGTCATCAAAAAACTTTTTCCCTGAGAATCGTACCATTATCCTGAATGTGCCACTTTTCTAATACTCTGCTGTGACTGCTGAATGACTGGCTTTTATCAGGGGTGTTACCGTTCCCTTCCTCTGTAGATGGCTCGTAATTATTTCCTGATCGGTGTCACGTTCTGTCTGTGGCTCTTCCAGCAAGCTGCACTTTGTCTGTCCTGGGCTGAGGTCACCTTTCTAGCTTTTGCAGTGTACTTAAAAAACCTTACTTTATTCTTGCAGATTGTGGCAGCACTTGTTGCGGGCTGGATAACAGTAGTGCAACAGTCCATAAGCACAGGCCAGTGAACTGGAGAGGTCTTGCAAGTCGCTCAGGCTGTGGGAGTGGCACAGAAGAAAAGAAAAAGAAACAATCAGCATAGTATTTAGTGATATTGGCTCAATGTTGGCTTTGATTTTTCTGCGCATTTCATTGTTTGGGAGACTTTTGCATTCCAAAACCATGCTGCTTTTGTGCTACAGATGGTGAGCTTCTTGATGTTTCATGTACTGGGGATGTTGCAACTTCTGTTAGCTTTTCTTGATAGATAGATAGATTGGAGTCCACAGCTTGTTAAGACCTAAGCTCTGAACTTGGAACTGTCTGCTTGGCCCCAGTATCGACACCTACATGCAACTGTATGTTTTGTGGGGCTCACATCTATCCTGGCACTTTTTGGTAGTTTGCCTGGTGTATCACAGGATACAGATTCCCGGTTTTTGTCTTTTCATTCTTTGTCTGATAGCAAGGGGAGGAAGAGAGGCATTTGGTGGCACGTACAAAGCTTGTCTGTCGGAGGATAGTATTGAGGTTCATCACTGCATAGTGAAAAGCTGTGCTGTGAATGTGTGCCTTACTTCCAGACTTGAAAAGGTGGGTTAGTGTTAAAATAGCAGAGTTTGATCTAGAGTACCTGGGACAAATACTTCTCCATCATCTCTGCTATGGAGGGCAGCGCTGTCTTGTAGAAGTGCAAAAATGGCAGCTAAGGGAATGTCATAATCCGTTGCACTGAAATCCACCAGAGCCTCTCTTCAAGAGCTTACAGTAACAACAGTCTAACTGTGCCAACTAGTCCATCACTTCCCTAATTAATCCCATGCAACTCTGAGGAAATCGAGAACCTCCAAATGAATAAAAATACCGTGTCGGAGTGCAGCGTATACCAAATGTTACTCTGCTGACTTATTTTAGAACAGTCTTTTCAATACTAAGTTTGTCACGTCAAACATTTTTGGTTTGTGTTTATTCCTGGGCAAGTTTCCGTGGCACGGTTAAGTCATCAAAAGTCAGAAAATGCCAATGTTAAGGTTACGTATGCCTCATCATGCGGAGGCTCTGTCTGAGTTTGGAAACACCTCCGTAGCCCTCTGGTGACGTGGCTGCCTTCCCGCATGCAGCGGGGCCTTGCTTAACCGTGCCCTTGGAGCTCAGCAAAGAGGAAAAGCAAAACCACGACCACTTGGCTGGCAAACGGAGCGGAGGCTGAAGAGTCGGTTTGCGACGGGAGGGATGAGCAGAGAGGCACTGGGAAGAGACCTGTCAGGCCCCGGGCTCGCCGCAGAAGGACAGGGGATCCGTGCAGAGCCACAGGCCTGCGCAAGAGGAACGGCAGCCCAAAATGGGGGACGCCTGGGTCCGTGTGGGCCTCTCTGCCCATGAGCTCCCATCCAGTTCATAGCGTAGCTCATGGCTGCATCTGCACTTCTTGCACTGTGGCTGCAGCTTGGGAAGGCGCTGACCTCGAGACTGGCATTGTAGGAGGTTATGCGTGGTGGTGATGGCATGAAGCTGAGGGTAGAGAAATCATTCTGCTTACAAACTTCTGTCCTGGGTGACTTTTGTAGGCTGTGGGGTTCTGGGATTTTGGATTTGTTTTCTAAATTTTGTTAGCAGAGATTTTTGTCGCAAGTTACACAAGAACAGAGAGTAATGACAGTTGCATGCAATCCACTTGCCTTGTAGGTTGCTTGTAGTTGCTCATAACCCCTCCCGTAGTTGGAGTTTTTTGTCAACTCGCATCTGATGGATGCATTGCTCACATAAGCAACCCTTTACTTGTTTTTGACAAAAGTGGGTCCTGCTCTTAAGCTGGTAATGGCTCTGACTGCAACTCGCCTTGCTGTGCACAGAGCCGTATCTGAAGTGAGAGCTGCATTTGTCTGTGACTCTTCCATTAGGTCAAGAGTTTGTAGCAGATGGTGGCTGGCACTCGCAAAACTTCTGCAGAAGTCCTTTTCTGTAGTGCTCTTGCAGAGGGATAATTGCCACTGAAGTAAGTCTGTAGGGATGCTGAGAATGTTTTTGTCCTTGAGTAATAAAAGAAAAATGATTCCACGGAGGGGGAAAAAAGAGGTTGGTGTTTTGAGCACTTCTGCTTTCCGTAAGGTACACCAAGGGAAAAATCTGGACAAACCCATTCGGATGGCCCCATTAAGATGTCATGCACATTAACACAAAATCAGCAGAAACATCACAAACATCTAGAGAATCTGCAAGTGTCTTATGATAGCGCACATGGTTCATCTACTGTAAAACTGTTGCTAAGCAAACTGAACATGTTGGCAATTACCAGCAGTCAGAAGTGATAGCTCTCAGAATATATAATAAGTGGGAACTTTCCATATGTGGGTCTTTTTGAAACAGCATACGAATGTTTAGGCAGTGGAGGTTGTATTTGCCACTTTTTAGCCCCTAGTGTTTTGAAAACTACTTCACTTATAAAGGAATACCAAAGGAATAAACGAATTTAAATGAATAATCCCTTTAAAATATTCCCTTAAAGGAATAACGAATGGGCTTGGTAGGAAAGGGCTACTTTACTGAGACTCATATAAAGCTAGATAATACTTCATAAATAAGATTGCTAGAATGTTTTGCAGAAATGAATGTTACAATACCTGGGTAAACTTTTTTTATTGCAGAGCTTAATTATGAATGCATTATTTTAGTTACTTTAGTTCCTTTTCATAAAAGGAGCTTTCTGAAAGGGTCTTGTCCAGGTGTTGGACGGAGCTCTTCCTAGCCCTCTCCTGAAGGCAGGTTACAACACAGCAACTGTCCCAGCTGTAAATGGAGATGTAGGGTAAGAAAGAAATGCCTTAGAAAACAGCTGCCTTTTGAGAAAGGAGCTGTGCAAGCTCATAAAATAAAACATGTATTTTAATCTAGTTGTGATGGGGGGGAAGGGGGAAATGCCAACCACCTAGTGCTCCCTTGTTTAGTGAACGGCAGGGCTACAATAATACAGGTCGAAAATACACAGTAATGTGCTGCACTGAGGAACGCAAAAAGGAAAGTAGTAAAATATCTGTATGGTATTTGTGATTGCTGTGTATATATGTACAAAAAAAAAATCACAGGCAAACAAGCAAAATGAAATTAGTAAAAAATGCTGCTTAATATAGCTCATAAACCAGACCTCCCTTAAAAAGGCATTAAAAAAAAAGGCAAAAATGTCTGAAGTCCCCCCACCCACCCTCTCCAGGGTTCCTCAATGCTGGGGAATAATCCCACTCCAGATTTTGTGTTTTGAAGGATGCATTAAACGAGTCAGTTCTCAATCAAGTCCCCACTGGAAGTTAGATAATTCCTTGGTACTTCTAAAAGAGCAAAGCCTAATTCCCACTAACCTACCTGAGACTTCTTCAGCTAATAAAATAGGTACTGATGTCTGGAGCTATGCGAGTGAACTAATTAGACCTGTTGATAATGGCTGCTGCATTTATGAAAATGGTCGCGGTGCTAACAGCATCCAATTCATTGCTTTGTGGAATGCTGAATATCATGACTTGGAAAAGTGTTAGCGTGACTCATTTTTGGGGGAGAGGTAAAAAAAAAAAAAGGTAATACGTGTTATCTTTCCCACACAGTTCTTTCTGACAAACTGATTACACCCTAGCCGGGGCAAACGTAACAGAAAAATTGATTTATGTTGTTGTTTTTTTAAAAACGAGGTGTTTGAGGTGCAGTTTCTGTGCCATGTTAGTGATCCACCAGGAGGGTTTGTGACTCGGTTGCTTAACGGAACAGCTCAGTAGGAATACATATCACTATAGCGGTGTTTTACCTTTTAAAAAAGTTGTGCAAAAGCTAACCGTGCCTTTCCATGCTCACTTTTCCACCAGCGGGCAGCTTCCACTGGGTAATCGAAC